CCTCCCTGACATATTAAAATAGACTACCAAAAACTGAACATACTTTTGAAAACCTAAGACTGTAATCTCCTTTTTCCTCCAGTCAGTAAATGGGGATGGCAATACTCATATGCCTCTGGGATGCACTTTGGATAAGAAGATCCTAACCACATGTAAAATAGTCTCAAAGAAAAACATGATTTGCCTAGTGATTTGCTCTTACTGTTCTGAAATATATAAAAAAAGTCTCCACACAAATTTTGGAGCATCACACGGAGTTTATTTTGAAAAAAGAAATCAAAGGGTGTTTTTTTCATCTCTGAGCCAGATGGAAAGAAAAAACAAACGTATTCCTTCCTAAGAAAGGAAACATATGAGAATTTAAAAAAATTTTTAGCAAGCTTTTTTTTTTTTTTTTAAATAAACTCCATGGAAAAAGGCAGGTGGAGATGGTGACTGAGCAAACGGCCTCTGGTCTTAGGAAGACCTGGCTTCTGGGGTACAATGGTTTTGTCCTCACGGCATGATGCTTTCCTGTGTACAGACACCCAAATTTACCCCAAGTGAACGTGGGTGAGAGCTGACGGCAGCCTAGCCACGATGTCGGTCCCCTTCTCCGTGAGCCTGCTGGGCTTCGGGCTGTGGGGAAGCAGAGCAGAGCGCCAGGCTCCCACGGCTATCCTGCGGCTGCTCCCTCAGCCGGCTCCTTCAAGGTGAGCGCAGATGTCTGGGAGCATCAGCACGTGGAAGCTGCCGAGCAGCGCTCAGGCCCCCACACGGCGGGGCCACATGATGTTCACCAAGGAGCAAACATCTCACAGAGGCATCCACGGAGGGAAGGAGGGAGGCAAAGAAAAGCAAGTCTGGAGCCATGGGCCGGAGACAGTCTGTTCCCGTTGGACGCTGCATCTGCGCGAGACGCTGTGCTTTTAACTGAGGAAGCCGCACTGGGGCTTTGAGTGGTTTTGTTTTCTCACACGTGGATAAACTCAACCTCCTCCGCAGCCTTTCCCCTACTTACTGCCAAGCCGTTGCCTTTGACAGCCAGCGGCCACCCTCCGCCAGGCTCCTCTGCTCACCAGCAATCACAGGCTAATCCCTGCTACTTGCTAAAAACAGAGGAGCTATTTGCCAAGAACAGAAAATTAAAAGAGGAGGTCAGCCATTTGAGAGAGAAAGAGAAATAGCAAGATTAGATTAGCCATTATAACCAGCCAATTTAAATTAGACACAATAATGGCTAACCTAGGGGCTCATCCTGCTCCATTGAAGTCAAGGCATCTTTCACGCAGGGGGCCCATTCAAAGTGTTTTGCATTCTTCTGTGCAGGTAGGGAACTTCAAAAGGGGACTCAGAGGCATTTAGGCATTTAAAACCATGTTTCCAGCATCTAGAGGCTGCAAGAGCAGTGCAGTAAAACTGCAATTAAGAGATAAAATAGCCACAGTCAGGCTTAGAACTAGCTGAGAGAGGACAGCCTTTAATCACAATAATTTGTTTCTCATCTATTTGATTTTTAATACCTCTGAAATGCCTCTGAGCTGTTGAACACACCAGTTGACACGTGTCACTTGGTCAGACAAGTACGCACAGAATAAACAACATTCACTTCTATGCCGCCGCTTAGTGCTTCCCTTATTGGCACAATTGCAGGTATTATTTATAGACATCAAGGGGGGTTGAAGGCTTGAAAATTATGAGTTCTAATCAGCTGAAGATGATTCATAATAAATTAATGAGATGAGTCAGAAATGATATTAAGAAATCCAGCACTGGATGATGTAAGGCACGATGACTTTGCACCCTCTCTCCCTTCCCCTCTGCTTCGTGCAGCAGTTGCAGCTCTCACTGGGGAAGGAAAATATGCGCTCAGCAGGCCTGCATGCAGTTTGATGTAAAACACAAAAAAGAGCGACGGAGATGTGTACGCAACATGCCAAGTTACAGTGTATGTGCACTCGAAGCCAAAACTCTAGCTGGGACAAAGTAATCTCCTATCACTTAAAACTTTCCGCACAACCTGTGTTATCGTTCAAACCGTACAGCAAGCAGATTCACAGGGACGTTTTCCAGACCCCAGGCGGCAGCTCTGACGTCCATGACAACTTCTTGGCCTTTTCTGGGGGTCCTGCTTGCATCCCTGCCAATCCCTCTCCTTTCCGTGACAGTTTCTTGAGCTGCCTGAGCACTCTCCCTGTTCTCGCAGTGATTTCAATCTTTGTTGCCGTTTGATACCTCCTTTTCCCGCTTGCAGGAATACGGGACCAGAAAGATGGTCTGCATCGGCCTGCCCACCTGTTCAGGGCAGGTTTCAAAGATGACTGACCACACCAGGCATGCAAACAGAGCGTCCAGCTCAGGCCAGTTTTGCCTAACACCTGCTTGCTTTGCTTCCAACGTGTGAACAGACTGCTGGAGTCTGGGCACGTTTTGCTTCTCGGTAAAAGGTGGATGATTAGAACAGCGGTATACATAACTGTCATCCAGAGGTGAAATTCACTTTGAAGTAAGTATTTAATTCATAAATATGTCGCATCCTTAAACTGTCCTAGTTCAATGATTATTTCCATGCTAAGGTCAGACCACCGCCCACGGTTTAGCATAGCTGCTATGCAAGTTTTCAACAAGTTAAGCGGGGATCGGTGATAAATACTCCAGCCTTTTTTGTAGCCTTATGTAGGCATAAGTACAGCTATAGCCGTTGATCATGACTGCACAGCAAACCTCTTCAGAAGGACTGGAGGGTGTGAAACAACTCTCAGATTATCTCATCTTTAGAGGTACCATCACTCCCATTGCTGAAGGAAGAGAAAGATAGTGTCTTTTGGTTAAACACAGGGCTAAGAAACAATACACCTGGGACTTACACGGAGGTTGTCATGAGCTTCTCAAGTGGACGATAAGTCTAGCGCTTCAGCAAAAAGCAGGAAGAGCTTCATTTAACTCGGTAGATGCTCAGAATTTACCTAAATATGCCAACATTCAAAATGAAGATAGCACTGCTCTTCTGAATCAGTGTGGTTCTGTGAAGCTCCACTCACCAAGGTTTGTGAGGCTCTCTGGGAATGAAGTAATACTGTTCTACCTCTTTATCTGAAAATAACAATTCAACATTATCTCTACAGGCACTTGTGTACGTATGTATGTAGACACTACAGTATGTATCTACATACAACTCAAGTACAGCATGACAGAGTATACGGTGTAATCATGCTGTATTCAGAACCTCAGGAAAAAGCAAAAAGAAAAGTCTCAGGAACTCCAATGTGTTTCCAAAAAAGAGCCCTGCCTCCAAGACAGCTCCACTTCACTGGCCCTTCTCTTTTAATTAAATGTATGCAATTTTCATTTTGTTCCCTTCTCTTATCTCCTCGGTGCCACAGGACAGATTCCCAAATGTAACTTTTCAGGTATTTTCTTGAAGTAAATTACCGTTAACATTAAAAAGTCCCCCCTCACAAATGGACACTGGACGGAGTGCAGAATTCAGCGAAGCAGCAGTCTTTACTTGGTTGTTCTTGGGAGCGATATTTGAAAATCTGAAATCCAAATCTTGTCTCTTTCCAGCAGAGCTGGCGTATTTCAACAAGCTTATCTGCCTTCAGCCAAGGTAAATGGGAGGTCAGGAGGCACTGCAAGAACAACTCTCTTTCAGAGGAAGCCAAAATGACTTCCTTCATGGTGGAGCGGGTGGCCATACCCAGAGTATAAAAACTGGGAACCAAGAACAAGGTTTCTGCTAATGAACTCGAACTGGTTGCTAATTTTTTAATTCCCAATAAGATGCGCTGCTGCCTAGACAACAGCTCACGGGACTGAGGAGGAAATTGCCTGGGTGATGATACCATCTCATTAGCCACACTGCATTCTGTTTTGTAGCATTTTTTATTTTCTAGTTTGTTTAGGAAAGGCGTACTGGTCCAAGGAAATAATGAGATCAATTTACAAAGCACTTTAGAGAAATGCAAGTTGATTAAACTTTTCTGAGCATGGCATGTTTTTATTACCAATTTTTTAAATCTCTCTTAGAAACAAACATATTTCAGCATGTGCACCTCTTTTGCTTCTGCTCTTAGAAAATTCTTCACCTGGGCAGCACCTATGAGGGCAGAGCTCCTCCTGAATACGGAGGAGGAATTAAAACATTTCAAAAGCATTATAAGAAGTCAGTGATTTACTTCTGTGGCACTTTTTTTTTTTAAGAATGCAAGGAAGGCAAGCAGGAAGGAAGGAAAGAAGGACGGAAGAAAGGAAAAGTTGTTATTAGCATGGTCTTTGCATAGAACCCTGATGGAAGGCTGACTGTGATCAGAGCTATAATGACTATCTAGTCCTTAGTCAACTTAATCCTTACACACGCAGACTAGACTGCATACAATAAGGAAAGCACTATCTAAGATCTGCTTTAAGAGTTATTTAACCGGCACAATTCATCTGGGAAAATACAAATATTTCTAACTGGAAAAACATTTCTCTATAGCTGAGCTAGGCCTGATAGAAGACCTTAATGAATTATTAGTACCTTTATTGTTTTCTTTGGCTCCTGTGCACTATATTTGTAAAAAAAGTCAGTAAAAAAGAGAACAATTGTAAAAAGCAAATATTTTGTACAAAAATACAAAGTTTTAAAAGCTCTTAAAAGTATATTCCATATTATTGATAAGAGTTGGACTATATATATATATTTATATAAAATCTATATATTCGTGTATCTGTATAATTTTCCTACATTTGGGATTTTTAGCAAATAAACATACTGTTTACACAGTTGCTTTATATGTTTTTCTATAGATGAATGACCAACAGTCTTACTCAGATTGACAGAACGTCTTTTCTCAGAAAACAAAGTTACTTATGTATGTGGCTACTGGTTGGGAAGAAAATCTATAACTGAATTAGTCCAACTGGATTTCCGATAAGCTCCTGATGTTGTGGGTTGAAAGCCCTGGAATAATTGCAGGATGCTGAAAAAGAGTTGCTGCTGAATTCCATTTAAACTAGTTTTCAGTGCTTGCTTTAACTTTTTCAATTTTAGTAGGAGATGTTGCTCTCTCCCAGGATCTTTCTTCTTCTTTAAGGAAATTTCCATCATATATAGGCATCTGTAAATTCACAGCCTCTTACACTCCAAATATTTGCCCTATAGTATGAGAGAAAAAAGAAAAACAAACGGGAAAAAACATGTAAAAAGCCTGTAATGATTAAATGCTTTTCCAAAAAGGAAGTTTACAGAGCTCAAGGCATCTTAAAAAATTTAAGGGAACTCCTGTGCGGGTTCTGGAAGTGCAGGAGGAGAAATATTTGTAAAGCATGAAGTTTTGCTAAAATAAATTTATGTAGGAAGGGAAGAACACCTTACATTATTATACACTGTCCTTCACCCTGGACACCCAGAGTTATACACACACAAAATGTGTTTTAACTTTTGTTTTGGCTTTGGGGGGACTTTTCTGTGGACGGGATGTAATTTTGGCTCTAGCTGACAGTTCCAATTGCCTTCCCTGCAATTCAGCCTACATATTTGCAGCTGGAGCACCCAGGCACTCTTGGCAAAACCATTTTAAAACACGTTACACTTAGGACATAATGTTTTAGGCAGAGCACAGCCAAGAACACAAATACTACCTAGCTCTGTGCTGGCTGGGCTGGGCTCTAAGCAGGCAATATGAACTACCTGCACTTTACTGTTGTGGAAATGCCTTTACGAAAAGCGATTCCCTGTGGCAATCACCAGGGTGACTGCTTGACCACACTGGCTGTTCATGAGTCTGTCACTCCAGTGGCCATAGTACGCAACAGAGGGGTCACCTAGTGCACGTGAACTGGCTTCAGTCCCATGGGACATCTCCTGCCAGCACTGGGAATTTTAAGAGTGCCTCAACAGTCACCAAATACTTCCTGTTGCACAAACTCTCAGAATAGGGTCTATTTGTTTTTGGAAGGCTGGTCCCCAAGCCATCCTAAAGGCCAGATTTGCCCACTGCACAGCACTTGGGTCTATAAAAACAGGTTCCAGGGTGGCCAGGGCCCGGAGCATGCATGCCAAATCATGCCTCACGTTTTAGGCACATTGAAGGTCTCCAGAAGATGGTCAAGATGTGGAGCAGGCCCTGTTATGGCCACCTTGGAGGCTGGCCTTTCAGAGTGCAATATATCTAGCGTCCACCTTGGAGGCTGGCCTTTCAGAGTGCAATATATCTAGCGTATGTATCACACAGCGTATTAGAAAAGCTCAAGCTGAGCTGGAGCTGAGTAGAAGAAGTCTAAGGGTGATGCTCCCTTTTCCTCAGCAAAACATTTCTATAGCATATGCCAGTTCATGTGGATCTTCTCCCTTCTAGCTGCGTAAAATTTACTTGAATTTGGCCTGCTACAGGTAGGGTGACATAATCAAATGAAGTGCTTGCTTACCTTTGTCCATATCTTTTTCACAAATGAAATTGTTAACATCTTCACAGTAAAAGTCGTTCCAGAGCCCAGCGTAGATTAACCCAGCACAATCTTCCCCTGGCCCGTGTCCATGGCTCCAGTTATCAGGTTGCCCAGTTTTCCAGTTTCTTTCAACAAAAGAGCAGCAGATACAATTGCACAACGCAGCCCACGCGACAGTTTTCCACAAGAAATTAACAAAAACATCATGAGATCTGTTCTGAACGGGAAATACACGTTGAAACAAACAATACATGACTCTTGCAGAAAATGGAAAACAGATGTATTACAGAGAAGGGAATCTATTCAGCCCCAGGCTGCCAAAGCTCAAAGACCTAAAATTAGACCGGTGAACTTTATTTTAGTTTCTGAATGTACACGCACATACAATGACACATGTGCATTGTTCCAAATCTGCGAAAGTCTGCTCCCTTCATTCCTGCCAGCAGATGGTACTAGGAATTCCTGGCAGGCTCACAAGCGCCGCACAGGATGGCCAACGCCTGTGCCTCGGGGGCCGCCGAGGCGCTCAGCGCTCTGGCTGCGCCGAGACGGGTCTCTCTGGAGGCACAGCAGAGTTTTACCTGTTTTACAGGCTCATGTTGGGATGGGAAGTGAATTTTCAGACTGAAACATAACTAACAAAGTCTATATGCACAGATCTTTTGAGATAATTAGCCTTGATGGTGTAACTTAATGCAGCATGTAAAGACCTAGCAGCAAATGTTTCCTCATCTTGGTTTTATTTAATAAGCGAGAAATGCTTCCAACATCAGGACTTAAAAGCTCCGTTTTCTTCAAGAAACAGGTTGTTGAATGGAGCTTGTGATTGCTGGCTGATACGGTCCATACTCAGCTAAAAAATATGTGTGCCTGACACAGAGGGTTTGAGTAGGCACCTGGGAAGACACACAGCTTTCCAGAAATAATTACATACTTCAGAAATCAGTAACTGACAGTTCCGAGGTTACTACAGGGCACCTAAAATCACAGTGAAGTGGAAACCTACTGAAAGTAGTGGCTGAAGTGGGAATCAGTCACAGTGCTGCTATAAAGAGAGAGATGGAGGGAAGGAGGAAAAGGGAAAAATATTATGGCTCATTTGAAATACATCTGACTTTTTCCATGTTTCTCATCAAAACGAACACCAATGAGATCACAGCTAATCATTTCGTAACATCTGACTGACTGTAGCCTGTTTTTCTGGAGCACAGCATGCTCGGTTCTATAAACTCTTTAGTCTACTCCTCAGTATTAAAAATTTGGGTGGTTGCAATCTGTTCCATTTAGGACAAATTAGGTGTAGCCCTACGATTCCTGGAGAGCTGCCAATTCAGTACTCAGCTGGCCAAAGCTTAGACACCCTTGTTTCATGCATTTTCCTTATGTTTAATGCTTTCCACTTGGATTTGGGCTTTATCTAAAGGCTGGTCATTTTTTATCAGAATGAGCACTCTATTTATAGCCAGTTGTAATGCAAATAAGGAAAATTCAAACCAAGACAGAAAAAACTGTCTGTGCTTTCCATCCCCACTTTGTAATAAAAGTCAAGAGCAAATGTTTTGGCAAGAAACACTGTGCTGTGTAGTTATGTGATTATTTCATTCAGTATTCAGTATTCCTCCTGCCAAGGAAATAGAGTCTTGTGTATGGCAAAGAGAGAGAGAGAAAAAACAGTTCAATGGCACCCTACGTACAGAGTTATTTCACTAGCATCTACATACCTCTGGATTCACTGGATAATTTCTAGATGCTGCTTTGAGAAGCGGCAGCAAGAACAGTAGCATCTGCAGAGAATAAACACCATTGTTCTTTATTTACGTACGTGTAAACTGGTAAAGATCCATCCAGCCATCTCCATTCATTTTCCTTCTCAGAATCCGTAAGCCCAATCCAGAAGCTGCCTTTCCCAAGAATCTGCCTTTTTAACCATTGCTGTGGAAGAAAGATCTCAGTCCATAACATACAAACATGACCCTCCTTAGAGCTAATGAGCTACTCTTGCTTCATGAGCATCTTTGTTAAGGGCTAAAGAGATTTTTCTAAGCTGAACATAGGTTTCACGAGTTAGCCTTGCAGCCCCTTACTCACACTAGAAGCCATAGTGCTGTTTGCATGCGAGGCAAGAGAGAGCTAGTCATGAAAATTAGTTTGACATAAAGCCACAGGCAACCTCATATAGATACATATGAAAAAAAAAAAACAGCAAAGAGCACGCAGTTGTATCTTGATATTCCCGCTGCTACACAGTCACCAAATAATTTATCTTGAACAGCAGTTAAAGTATAGCTAGATTTATAGCTAGATAAAAACATTTGTGGGTCATGGTAGTCTTAGGCTGTGTGTTTTACAAGAGACGGTTTAAAAATAAATGATTTTCAACACTGCCAGAAAAATATATTTCAGTACTATGCAAGGTACAACAGGCTGTATCTTCAAAGGTTCAAAACTCCTTCGATTCTCACCAGCTTTCTTGGGTGCTCCAGGCCCACCAGCACCAGCTCCGCTCACACTGCACATGGACTAACTGCTGAGCAGCCAGAGGGCGGACAAAATCCTAACCGGAGTCCATCTCTCTGTCTACTTCCATATATATGAATTCATGATGCCCTCAGCTTCCAACCTGCCCTGTAACTTCCACATGCAAAATACCCTAAAAGTCTCTCCTTGAAAAACAAAAAAAGAAGTTAGTTACCTGTTCCTCCTTGTTGTTTATGATAACCAAGCGTGATGCCTTCTCTTCACAGAATAACTTTGCCTCTTCGAAAATTTCTCTTTCAATTGAAAAGTAGTAACACTTTTCTGTATAGTTCTTCCAATGAGGAGAACAACCTGTCAAGTGAAACTTTTGTTAAACTTTTTGTGTTAAACCAATTCCTGACAAATTAATGAAGCAACAATATCTTTCTGCAGGGGGCTAAAACTAAGAGGAGGATCACACAATCATCCACAGCATGCTGACATCTAAAATACTTAGGGATAGCGTGAGAATGTATTTATCAGGACCCCGACTCAGAATATGAAACCAAAGCTAAACTGCATGATCAAGGGGATTATTTATCTACTACTGCCTTCTCTTTAGCTGTAAATATTAACTTAAATCAATTTCAGAGCATCAGAGGGAAGATCGACAGGTATGGCTTCACTTGAGACTGCTCCTTATTATCAGTCTCAGAGATTAAGTGGAGACTAATGTAACAGAGGTAATTATAAAACAGTATCTCACTGGTGGGCACTCTCTGCTAGGTAGATTTGTATCTCAGTAACAGAATCCATATGGTGTTCAGATAGCTTACCATTAGCCTCAGGCACTGATGTAGGTTCACTTTGTAGAGCCATTGGCATTCCTGGACCTGGGGGCCCCGGTGGGCCAGGTGGACCCTTTGGACCAGGCAGCCCAGGGACTCCCGGTAGCCCAGGCAATCCTCGAGGTCCTGGCACCCCTGGCTCTCCCACAGTTCCTTGCAGTCCTTGAAATCCTGGTGGGCCTTGTGGCCCAGGAGGACCATCTTTGCCTTGTGGCCCAGGTGGCCCTGGATCTCCGCTTGGTCCTGGCAGACCTGTCTTGCCAGGAGAGCCTCTCTGACCTTTGGAGCCAGGTGATCCTCTTGAACCTTTCCCTCCTTTTTCTCCCGGTGGCCCAGTTGGCCCAGGTGGACCCTTTTCACCTGCAGGTCCTGGAGGTCCTGGCTCTCCTTTCTCTCCTTTTTGTCCTTTTAGGCCAGCAGGGCCAAGAGGACCTGCAGGTCCTCTGTCACCTTTAGGTCCCCTTGGACCAGGAGGACCTGAAACAGTATAAACATTCAAAGTTGATTCAAAGTAAGAGCAGAAAACAAAACAGAAAACCCATTCGGGGTCCTTGTTTAATGTATCTCAGAGCAGCCACAGTGGATATTCAGCACCTTGGAAACCTGACCAACAATGCTCTCAAATGTACAGCTCGTAATGCTCAGGCATTATATAGTACTGCTCTTTCCTGAGCCTCCCTGAAGTACAAGACACAGAAGAAAAACTCCTGACGCACCTTGTCCTGTGAACTGGACAATCACGTAATGCCAAGGTCATCATCTGAGGTGTGATCAATCCCTACGACATACACTCTGCACTGTTTACACAGTAAATAAATGCAGTATTACATTTTGACACTTCCCTTCTCTCATTCTGCTATGCTCCTTTTTCCTTCTAGCCCCGTCTCTCCGCTCTTAGACTACAGGACTGCTACTCCTGTGATGACCCTGTTTGTTGCTCTGTCAATAGTAGGTTGTCAAAAGGAGAAAAAAAAAAAGGATAGGCCATATTCCTAGGCCACCCATGAAGAAAGACCAGAAGTATTATCTGCTAATTGGCTGGTTATAATAACAAAAAGAACAATATGTATGCTATGAAATGGGAACATTATAACAGCTTTTCATATATAGATAACAAAATAATTTTGGATTCTGATCATGGATGAGCAAATGCCTTGCCAATGTCTTATTTTTCCCCGATTCTACATCAGAGATAAGTTCCTACGCTGGAGTCATTCAGATCTGATTGAAATGAGAAAGGTGAAGGTTATTGACGTGTAATCTGGGCTCTAATTCAGCCCTGTTCTGTTTGGATAAATGGATTTATATCTGTCATTAGAATTTTAGGCCTGACTGGTTCACATCAGGTTGGCAATATGAGCGTTCTCTTCATTTAGAAGAATACTTGGCTGGGAAAAGCCTCCTAAACTTGATGTTATTTATTTCTGGAGAAAATAAAATATCCAAGGATTAAAAACCAAGGAAAGTAGGATGTGTTCTGGCAGACTAACAACTGGCTTAAAATGAAATAGCAACTTGTTTTTCAGTAAGGGCGGACCTTTCTGGGAATGGTCCAATTTATATTTTTTAGCCATTTCCTTCTTAGCAGAGATTGGTTTCTTGAGCTTCTACACCTTCACTAGCTTATTTTAGAAACTAAATCAAAAGCAGATCCAGTCAGTCAGTCAGAATAAAATTCTGCTAAGTCAGAACCTTCTTTCATAACATCCCCATTCTAGGTATGTAAAGAAGGGGTATGTAAATTAGTAAGGCAGGAAAATTCAAGCTACGCTTGCATTCCCAAAGTTTAGGATTAGATAATGGAAAAACCCAGGACTCTGTACTGACGTGCACTGGGAAAAAAAAACTTTCAAGAATTAAAGACGTTTCTGCAAGCAGGAATTCAATATAGACCAGTACGGGTGTCATTAGAGAATTTGCATACCTTGCAGGATAGTGAAGTTCTTGATGAGCTGGCCATGTTTGGAATCTACCAGCTTCATTTCTTCCATAATTACTGACAAATTGGCAACTTCAACATCTAGTCTTGACCTCATCAAATCCTGTTGCATCTTGAGAGATGCAGAGTCTAAGCGAATATTGGCTAGTGTGCTGTTCATAAAAATCAGCTCATCTGAATGTTTACTTAAGGTGTCTGTACAAGTTGTCCTGACCTCATTGAGATTGCTAGTCAGTGTTCGTAGATGATGAGCAGTGTAGCTGATGTTGCTAATGACACTGACTATATCAGTCTCAAAGACCAAAAGAACCGCTCTTCTAGCTGGTTGAATTTGGCAGAAGTTCTGTTTTCATATTCTTTGTGCTGTTCCTGGAGATCCTTTAGATTTTGTTCATTCGCTTGAGCAATTGTGGTAATGTTTTCCATTTGCCCACTGAAAGAGCTGAGCTGATTGTTCATGTCTTCAAGTGTATCATTGTTAGCTTTTGCCAATGCTGAGTTGTTGGCTGCTAAAGTCTGTAAATTTTGTACTTTCTCCTTAAGCCAATCAGTGTCCTTCCGGGCTTGAAGGACAACCTGCTGCAGATTTTGAAAGTCGTTCTTGATTCTTAGAATAGCCAGACTTGTATCTTCCATTGACTTCTGCAGAACACTGATAAGATTTCTTTGCTGTATTTGTGTCAGGTTTAAGTTGTTCAGGTTCATGATGACCACGTTATGAGAATGCACTTGGTTTTGCAAATTTGTTTGAATATTACTTGTGTCCTGTTGGAGATTGTTGATATAGCCAGTATATGCCTGAAGAGTCTTATTGATACTGATGATCATGAAAGAGTTGCTATCTAAGACGCTTTTCATTTGGCTCTGTCTATCATCTAATACATTTCCAGACTCTTGCAGCTTCTCCAGTGTATCTTTGTTTCTGGTAGTTTTCTCTGCAATGTCATGAAGCTGCTGACGAAGAGCCAGAATATCAGATCTGAAGCTAGACAGTTCAGTGTTTGTATTCATGGCTTTTTGTCCAGCTTGGTCATCTGTTAGACAGGAAAAATTTGAAGGGCTTTAGGATGAGTTTTCTAAAACACAGTGCAAACAAGCACAGTATATTTTAAACATAGCCAGACTGTCACAATGTTCTATCAATAGAATGCACTATCTCTTGCAGAAGAGAGAAACCATAAAGCAAAGTTCTGCCACTAGAAATAGGTTAAGACCTTGTGTATTGCTGAGGAGAACAGAATGCTGATTCTATTGTCATATATGGGAAAAACTAGAGTTAAAAATGATGGTGAATATATGTCTTCCAATATTGCTTGTATCCTGAATAAAAATTGAATGGTAAACAGAATTCAAAATATTGGAGAGGTATCAGTAAGGTTATATTTTGAAGTTACAACTGGCTTTTTTTAATGGAAGTTCAGAAACGGATTTTAACAGTTCATATTTTTCTCCTCCTTATTCTGGCAGTGGAATAGTTTCACTGTGATTTATAGTTAATTTTTTTAAATCTTGGTTTAAGTTTTAGAAGAGTTCTAATATCTATTTTAAAGCAATCCAGGCTAGAGACAAAAGCTTTGCCAGCAGGCTACTTCAGATATGACAGGATATGATGTATTTCTTTTTTTTTTCTGTCTAACACACCACAGTGCTTTTAATGACATTTCTTTTGCTATTATTGTTTCCTCATGCTCTGAGTTTCAGGAAGGCAAAACCTTTAATCTTTGAGGAACTTCTCTGTTCTTGCTTACACTGCTCTACAGTATACTTCTGGGAGCTCGTCTGAGTGTGATTAAGCTTCTGAGGCTGCCCAGCTCATCAGCTGGGACATACAAACCAAGGAAATGAGCAGTCAACACTCACTTTTAGGGAAGATTCCCTTTCTTGTCCTCAGTCACTTCCCCTTGCTACACACAGTTCATATATTCCCATCCTCATCTAAGTCTCGCTACGTTTATGAATTACAGAGTCTTATGTCCATGTAGATGATTCCAAGAGAGGGCAGGATGGTTTTCATAAATTGCAGTGAATACAGTTCGGTATGGAGCTTTCTTCTGGTATGTTTGAATGAGTCATGAGTCATGAGCCAACAGCAAATGGTGGCTTGAGAGAGAGACTTCAGTCTGAGATGTATAGGGAGTCTTCTGTGAATAGACACCTTGCAGAACACAGCTCCTCTCCCTGTCATTTATCTCACTTTACGATCTTCTCAGCTCTACATTTACTTCTCAGTTATAGCTCAAATTATATGGTGGTCCTTGCACAGCTCTGACAACTGCCACGTCCACATATGGCTAATCCCTAAAGGCCTGTCTTTCATTTATCCCCTGCTCCTATCCCTCAACTCTACAACAGCTCTCTTACCTTTACGCCTCCCAAGCACATTGTGCCATAACTGTTTTAACTTGTTCATGGCAAGTCAACTTAAACGGGAACTCATGGTTCTAAGCATCTTGCCAGTTCTGGGCCACCCAGTCAGCAGTGTACAAAATGCCTGGGGGCATGAGCAGGATCTCAGGTGCCCAAGTTGCGATTTAATCAACAAAACAACCCAGAAATGTTGCACATGCTTTCAGGTGTAACGTTTACTTTTATTATGCCTCATGTACATGCCACTGAACTATCCTATGTCTTTCAACCAAACGCAGTGTGTGAATACTTCAGAACACATTCACTTTTTGAGGAGAAAAAAGGTATAAAACTTTATAATCAAGCTGCAAGCTAGTAAATTTTCCAAGCAACAGACATCTCAATATATGGTCTATGAAGGTAAACAAAATGTATTTCAAGAAGCAAATGCACCTATGTGTATGTTATATTTATACTTATATTTATATTTAGCTAATTATATAAACTATAAGTTCATGTATACGTAAACTGCTAATAAACAGCTTTGCTTCCTTTCCAGACAAGGAAGAAAGGCATAAATGTATATCTAGTAAGTAGAATCTTTACACATGATCTTTTTCCATCTTCCCGCAAATTTAGAAGTCTGATAACACTTAAGAGAGCTGAACTCATAATAACTTTGTGTCCTGTACTCCGTGAGATTTTTAGGGCACATTTCACGGAAGTTATCAGCTTGCCTCAGGGCTAAGAGTTTTGAACAGTCTATTATTTGAGCACTCCTTAAAATGGACATCAGTTTTGAATTTTATTTGCTAAAACAGCATCCAGATGACTGGGTGACAGATTTTCATTTGACTTAGAATCTCTTCTTTTGTGTAACAACCTCTGCTATGTTTTATTATATCTCATTCAGAGAAGACTTTCTCCAGGACAACTTTTAAGTGTCTATTTAAGCATAAATGATTTCAGAGTGACTTCAGTGGGAACTGCAAATGTGAAAGTATGCTTAAAATGCTGTCCTACGTAGATATAGTCTTAACCATTTTTAAGTGCTTTCCCCAGTACCTGAGAAATTTGAATGTAAGTATTATATGTTGTCATGGTCAGAGATTTTACAGACAAATTCTCAGCCGCTATCTGCCAGGAGAATACCCCAAAGGCATAGTACAAAGGGACTTTGATTGCATGTACATTACCTAATTTCTTCAGATCACTCTCCACTTCCGTGAGTTTTTCTGTATATCTTCTGTGGGATGTTTCTAGGCCACCTGTCACATTGTCCATTTTTTCTACAACTAGGGGAAAGAGAACAGTACGTTACAGAAAGAAGAAAAGTGAAATTATGATAAAAGAATATAAATGATAAAGCAAACTGAAAGTACACTACAAGCATCAAACATAAAAAATACCCTTGAAATTGCCTTGCTTGCCACTAAACTCTGCTGTTCTGTGAAGTGTTGGAAAGATGATCTCTTATTTGCTCACGTGACCTGGCATTCTTCTGCAAAGTTCCTCAATATGCCAGCATTCACCAAACATTTTTTTTGCTAATGAACAGTCCCTCTCACGAATGAGGAAAACCCTCTTTGAGAGTTTTCTTCATGAACCAAGGCCCTTCCTTTTAACAATATCTCCATGCTAAAAGCACAGCATGGTGTGATGAACACAGACAAGGTTGCTCAAGTCAAGTTGCTTCTACTCCAGAAGTCAGGGAGACAAAATGATTTTATTTTGCTCTGGGCAAATTTGTCCTTAAAGTGAGCAAACATATTTTTTTTCTGAGTCTTCAGATTATTAAAAATTGCCCCCTAGCTAGCAAACTTTAGTCTGAGATGTCAATTTGAAGATGCAATTATTAAAATCTTTTTGAACAACTTTTAAACATTTTGGTAATGATACACAGCATTCCCAATGATCTTGAAACCATTCTGGCTCATTAGGATTGAATGGATGGTCATTCAGCAAGTGCAGATTTATGGCTTTCTCTGATGTGCTCTTTATTTTGATAATGTCTGAACCATTTGCTTGTCACTGAGCCAACTGGATGATTTGCTGGTGTTGATACAGAAATGGAGAAAGACAGCACAACAAATAAGAGCCTGGAGTGGCTTATAGTGATAAAAATATGTATTGCTGAAGCAATGCTTGCAAGGCTAGAGGCAGCCTTCGGCTTCCATGCCAAACCTAGTTTGATATGCTTTTGCATTCAAATCATAACCAGGACCAGAAATGCCTTCTCATTACGAGATTATTTAGCCCTCTGGCTCCGCTGGGAGCAGAATGGATCTGCACTGACCCTACATGAGGCACCCCTCTTCCTTACAGAAGAAATAAAGTGCTTCCCATGTCTTTGGATAGCGAAGCCAATTCTGTTGGCCAGTGAGTGGGCTGGAGCTACCACTAACTCCTGCCGTCCCTGAGACAACCTGCAGCCAGGACATAACCTCAAAGAAGCTGCTGCCATGTAAGGAATTGTTTTCTACCTGAAATGGAAATTTAGGGGATCTTTTGCTACCCACAAGCAACCATAAGCACCCCAGACCTTTAAGGCGTCAACCACCAAGGGCTCCTTCTTGATTCTTCATTAAGCTGTTTTTCTGATCACAGTTACCACAGGTACACTGAAGGCTTTTAATGCTTCCAAAAGATCAACAGGAAAAACAACTGGCCAAGATTATCACTCTGGTGTAACTGCACTGAGGTGAGTGGAGTTATACCAGAGAAAAAGTGTCAAGATTTTTCTGAGGAGATCAGACATCCTTCAGTGAATTACTTTCTTTTTCCTTTCCATACTGCTAACAAGTCAGCAAAACAGAGGCTTTACTGTGCTCACAAAAATGGAGTCGGAGGCAGATTTCTGTATTTGGGACGACGGCAGCTGGCCTGCTAAATGCCACATCCTGGCTACAATACTGACTTTACGTTTTCAGGGGGACCATTGCTTAACACCCTCTGCCTTAGAAGGGATTTCCTCCCCCCCCCCCCACACCACCACTGGTTCCTGCCCTAGAAGGGATTTCCCCCCCCCCCCCCCATAGCACTAATGTTTCACTGATCCTTCTGCCTATTAAAGACACTCATTGAAATTTTTCCTAAATGAAGTCAGATTGATTCTCCGCCTCTCCTGCCCAAACTCTCTTCTGGCCTGGAGTCCAGATCAGCAGTCCTTCAGTTATTTTTCCAGTGGTGCCTATATACATCTATGCATCGTGTCCAGTGGGCATAAGGAGCATGTATGGCTTTTCTTTTTGCTTAGCTCTAGGTAGCTCCTTGTGGTGTTCTGCTTTGTTTATGGATAGTCACTGTGAAGGACAAAACTCACTCCTAGGGAAAGCATCTGGATTTAAAAATCATGCCTGCTCCAACTGTTTGTGCTGAATGTTGGCAGTATCTCATCGCTCTAGATCTTGTTAATCTTGATTCAGTGTAATATTCACTTATTTTCTTCAGTTGTGCAAATGAATATTTCTTAATATTAATGAAAGAAAAGTGCAGCTTCTTCCTTTCATAGTTCAAATGAATGCCAGTCTGTAGTTTGTAAAACTGAGATTTTATGCTGTTCTGTAACAACAGGAATTTTTCATGATTGAAAAAGAATCCAACACTGGCAACTTGGATTAAAATGTTCTACTGAAGAGTCTAAAGCAAATGAAAATAATAGAAATCCTGCCAATACGTAGTAGCCTGTACTGGCAAGGAGATGAAATTGAATGGAACTGCAGATAGAACACAGTATGCTCTTTTCACTGTCAAAATTCAAAAAAATGCATTAAAAAGACTGTAGCTCCTCTGTAGCTATGAACGCTTTTTGTGTAGAACACCTCAAAAACTGGTTGAAGCAGCAATTTAAAAAGCCTTACTGGTGCTACTTACAATTGGCTGTGATATCTGGGGAAGATGATTGTGCTTGGCCTGAAAGATCACTAATGATCACTCTTGAAAGGTCATTCTGTCCTTAATAGCTTGTCTCAAACAGAAAGCAGTAAATTTAAATTCTATTGTGTATCTGGAAACCAGATAGCAGCCCTCAGTTACTAGGGTCTGACCTGGAAGATGCTGCTTTAGAGAGGCTGGATGCAGAAGCCTGTCTTCAAACACAGAAAGTACTGATTTTTGTCTATTACGAACTTAACTGTCAGTGCCTTACCCAGATTAACTGATGTGAAGTATAGAACTAGCTCTATTGGGCAATTCATTTCCTTTATTTTAATTCTGTCTCCCCTCAGAGGACAAGCCAGTGCTGTACTGTGAAGCGTACAGGAGAGAGTCCAGAGCCAACTCCAAACCACCAGCTCCAGCAGCAGCAGCAATCAAGAGCTCTGCCTAAGCTAATGGCAGACTTAGCTCAAGGATTTGCAGTGAAGCAGGCAAAACTTGACTTTGTCATCCCACATATAAACCAATGCATATGTTTGCTTTGTACAGGAGCAGGATCTTAGCCTCCATTGTCAAGCAGACCATGGTCAACTTGACTGCCTGTCCAAGCTCCCTTCCCAAGCAAGCCGTACCTTATTTACCTTCCTGCACCCCTTCCTGCTTACTGCCATGCAAGTGGGAAGGGTGAACTGTGGGGAGAATGAGTAGAGAAAGCCATGGTCAAAGTAGGTTTTTGCTGCTCCCAAAAGTCTGCTGCTTTAGGAAAAAAAAAAGTCTCTCCATGCGTCAAGCTTGCTTTGACTAGCTTCATTCTCAGCTTGGTCAGCTATCTCGACATTGTGATCTACGGGGCAGATATGTTCTCTGTCTTCACAAAAAGTCTCACTTTCTGATACAGTCACTGTGGAAATTTGGTAAAGGTCCTCCAAAAGAAGCAAGAACTTTAAGCAGTTGTTGACCAGACCAGTGAGGAGTGTCTACACTGGACCCACTCTGTAAGGCTCAGGCAAGAAGCAGGAACAAAAAGTCATATCTCACCAGGGCATGCTGGCCTGAGGTAATGGCAGGCAAACACTCTCTAAGAGACAGTTAAAATAAGTAGATGAAAGTCACCATGGGCACTAGTTTAAAAACTCCAAAATAAAGACTGACCAGAAAGAGACGACTATCAGAAATTCAAATTTAGAGAGCGTTAACTTCTCTTACTGGAGTGAGTCAGAGAATGATCATTCACTTTAAGCAGACACTGGCCAGTGCCAGAAAAATTGTAACTTTGGGGGTTTTTTTTGCATTTAATTTAAGAAGGCATGTGTAAAAAATTAAAGCTTGCTTTATTAAGGGTTTTAAAAATAATTTAATATTTCTTCTGAAGGCGAACTAATAGTAAACTCAACTTGCCATTCCTTGATGACCTTGATGTTTAATTCATGTTTTGGTTTCAGCTTTCTCCAGCTAACTACGCAGTTTTTACCACCAATTTGGAGGTTTGTTTATGTTGATTTTGCCTCCCCTTGAGTTATTTTTTGCCTGCCATATTTAATCCACTGATTAGTAGTTTTAACATTTTAAATCACAAAGGATAACTAAATACCATGTAGGAAATGAAAGTTTTAAAAGTAGTTTTGGGCTTTATAAACATAAGTGTAGGAGGTAAGTTTAATGGAAACTTAGCTATGAGATTGAAAGAATCCCTGATGCCAGCAGAATTCCTTCTTTCAGTGTAATATCACAGTAAAAAAGACAAGCCAAACTCTGATGCAGAGGGGAGAGTTCAAGAGCATTACAAAATTTTATTGTGAGTTTTGTTCTTTCTTTAAGGCTTAATTCCTTCCTAACTAACAAAAGTATCAGAATAATTTGTTTGAATATGTGCTGTGATATTGTTTTTTTCTGACTAAGCTGGGGCTTTGCCTAATTTATAGTTTTCCTGCAAGTTAGTGCTTCAGGCACTGTGGAGACAGAGTTCTCAAACTGGAGGATACAAAGGGCAATATTTTTACCTGACATATGATAATTTGCTGCTCGGCGTTACTGAAGGGATACTTTGGACTGAAAAGGACTCTTCTCCGATGTATGTCTCCTTCCTTGGAATTTAGGTGGAGTGGTCACCGAGTTGTCTTAAGGTCAGTGAACAAGATGTGCATTTTTAGTGGGCGAGGAAATTCTTCTGTTCTTGCCCATGACAAATGTTGCTTGGTAATGCTATTTCAGAATCGCTAGTCACGCACAAATGATTAGCCAGAACAAGAAGTAGGTATTGAATTGACTGTAGCAATGAAGGGGCCTCAAAACGAGAACAGAGCTTGGGGAAAAGACAAGACTGTGCTAGAGGCCCATGGAGAAAGAAGCTTGAAAACAGTGCATTGAGAAGAGGGAGAAAAACTCCCTCTCCCAAAGAGATTTTTTTGGATAGTTTCCTTATTCCTTTATTCCCACATATACATGAACAAAGGTTTGCCAAAGCAGATTCAGAGCAATGGTCCCTCCAACTTGATATACTGCTTCTGGTACCAAGTGACATCTGATTCTTCTAGTAAGCCCCAGAACTGACAGCCACAGCCATGTAATAAAACTGTCGTGAGGAAAATTCCTCTAAATCCCAGACATTTAGTGGCTGGGTTACAGCCTGGAATGATCACCTCCTTACCTGTTGTAAGCAGATCTCTGCAGATTTATATCTCCCTAGCTTGTACAACCAAACGGTTTTATCTTTATAGATCAAGGGCAAGTTTCTGCATCCTGCAAAGTTCTTTTCCTCAAACTCTTACTTTCAGAGGCCAGTTACACATTCTTCAAGAACATACCTGATCAATTACATACATACTGCTTTTCTTCACATTATGTTTTAATGTACTACATTCTCTGTGGTTTATAGTGAAAAAGGAGCATCTATGCAACTCTACCTACCGTTCACGTTCTTTCGTTTCCCTTGTTAAATTTTCCATCTAACCCAAACGGTTTTCATTTTCTTCCCACTCTAAACTGTACCCAGTCCTTTGAAATAAGTATTTATCCCTTTCTATTTCTACAATTTCCTTTTCTTTCGCTGGCAGAGGACCAAAGGTGATGTCAGTTTGCTACGAGTGCAGCTGCTGGCAGCACACAACACACTGCATGCTAATCACATGAGTATTTACCTCGCTTCTTGGAGGGGTTTTGAAGTTATGCTTAGAGCCATACTCAAGGAAGCTCGTTTAAAGCCATCTTGGTTTTCTCCATGCTGCAGGGTCCTGTTATAATACTCACAATGCTATTCACTTTCTTTTCCTTACCAGAGCCTCACATCTCATTCCTTTAACTTTTTCGGGCTGTGACTGCACAGCAAGCAGGCTGTAACATTGATCCCTTCATAAGCACACCTAAGTGGCTACAGCCAATTAGTCACCGCTGTGCAGGGCAACTTCAAGCTCTTCTTTCCCATGTGCCCTACCTTGGACTTGCACAAATGAAATTTCCTCCGCTACTGGGTTGCCCAGCTGCCAACAGCTAGACTCTCTGAAATTACTGCCATGCCTTCAAAGTGCCTTTAGACTTTGCTCATTAAAATAATTGTAGGTAAACCCATTACATTGGCACTTGCTGGTTGAATCTTTCTTCCAGATATTTCAAAGTAATATTGATCCTACACTTTGTTCCTGTAATAAGTATTATAATTATATTAATAAGATCATTCCTGGCTCTCCTTTAAATAAGACGTTTGTTCTGGAAAGATGCTGGTATGTATAAGAAAGCCCAATGAAATCAAGGTATAGCAGGGATGCATGTCCTACATATTCAGTCATCAAAGATCAGCAACACAATACAGAGTTTTGAGTCTTCCAGTGACTACTCTTTCATGATGGAAAAATGATCATTTTGTTCTAAACTTTTTCTTTTTTTCAAATTTCGTATATAATTCCTAATCTAATCTCAAAACTCCGTAATTATTTGAAATTGAAAATCTAAGGTTACAGTTTTTTGATATGTGTGTCAATTGCACAAGAAACACCATTCTCAAACATATTCATACTTCAGGTGAAAACATAACAAATTGCCTAATATGGGGAAATGCACTTGGATGCTTAACTGAAAGTGAAATTTTGTGCTTGATACATACATACCTTTGTATCCCAGAATGGCTACTGTAATTGTTAACAGGGCACATAAAATATACAGTAAGATGATGGAAAACTTCAGTGCCCAGTTATTTTTACATTTGGTACATTGAGTCCCCTCCTGAATACCTGCAAAAGAAGATTTTAAGAATTTCAAACAAGGGCAAAGAGCACATTGCCGGTTTTATCTCCCCATTTCTTCTCCTCCATTTTCTAAAGAATGAAATATTTATGTAAGCAGATGATAAATGGATACCGATTTGCCTGTTCTGCCTGAATAGCCTCCACAGCCGTTAAAGCATCAGTTTAGTTGCACAATGACTTTCGGGGTTGCACGGTGTTAAAGAGAAGTAGGTTCTCTTTCACCGGAAAAAATGTAGCTTTACTGAGAGACAGTATTATTTTCAGAAGCTGCTAACAAAGCTATGGGGAGCTTTGGAAGTCAAATGCTTATTAGAGTGCCTTCTGTCAGCATCACACAGTAGCGCCTCTCAGCATTCAGTCTCTCTGCATTGGCAACAGGACACAGTAAATACTCAAGCAGAATGAAAATACAAAAATGAAATAGTATAGCAAAAATAGGAGTACTGGCCCTACTTTGCAACCATTACCACAAACAGCTACCATGTGAATGCTTTCTTTCCATAAGGAGAAAAACTCTTTTTTTTTTTTTTTTTTTAGGTTTGGAGAGTACTATTTCCAAAGAGAATAAGGGATACTACACTGGTAAACCTAGTGGTAGATCTACACCAATAAAATCATGCTGATGGATTTTTCCCTGTAGAAAAGTTTAAGAAAAAGGGCTGCAAGTTGATAAGCACAAGTAAACCTTTATTGTTTGATAACTGAGCTATTTACAGCATGTTTTGACAACAATCAGTCTATTAGGGAACCAATATTCCTCTGATCCTCTGATCCTCTGGAACAGCTTGAAAGCGGTGGAAGCTTTGAATAAGTTATCAAAAAAATCAGGAGAAGACGAATGTGTAAAAACAAGAAAATACGATGATTGTGCTGGAGTGAGTGGGCTGGATTTAGCCCTCCTTCCAATGTGCATTAAGTAGACCAGGACAAATGTAGCTTTCTGTGTCCATCAAAAAATGCACTTCTGTGATATTTTACTCCATTTGTGCACCATTAGTGGAGTCCCATAGGAAAGCTTTAAGCTCTAATAAATTGCATGTACCAGATTACTTAACTAATCAAAACTTGCTCTGTAACTTTTTATGAGTAACTTATATTTCCCCTGAGGTGTAACCCACAGCTGATTTTACTTTTCCCAGCTCATGACCTTCTGTAGAGGGGCTTTTAATTTTTTACTTTTTAAGAGAAAAGCACAGGGCATTTCCCCTGCGTTTATTGAGGATCGGTGACTGACATACCAAGTTAAGTCAACTGCATTTATCTCTCAAGGAACAGCAGTTTCTAGCGACTTCCTTAAGCCTGCAGTATTTGAAGGAGGGATTACCGCACTGAAGCAACTCAGGAAGAGGATTTATACGAAGTTTATTTGACAAGGCATTTTTCTCAATTCCCTTTGCATGTATATTAGCCTTGGACAAGGCAGAAACACATCTCACACAGGTCAGCTCCTCTTTCTACATTATGTTATCTCATGTTTCCTAAGGCTTTCAGCTCTGATGTCCTAGCCTCTTGCCACGTGATGAAAGTGATGTCACGGATTTGCAATGCTTGCAGTTTAGGCATAAAACCAGTTGGGCACACTCAGATCTTTTCTCAAATACATTCGAGGAAAATAAAATAAGTATAAACCTAAGAACAGAAACTGCAGAGGGGGAAGGAGTCTCTGCTTCTTGTGTAGCTGAAAAGGGAAGGCGCTGTCAGAGATGGGCAACTGCAGAGCCCATTTCGTAGTGCTAGGTCTTGGAAGACTGGTAACTCCTGCGCCACAAAAAATACGGCAGAATCATAATTCAACAGACAAAATTCCTTAGGGATCCTGATGTGCGGGCTGTTTTTCCTTTGTTTAGCAGGTAGTCCCAAGGAGTTTGCTAGAGGGAAGTTCTGCTTGTTGAAGAAACCAGAGAAGGAACGTGTGGTTTTCCAAAGTTTTGTAGTAGGTATAGTATTCAGAGACTGAAATTATTTCATCAGGGGGACTCACGGCAACTGGGGCACCTTTTTCCTGCTGTTAACTGGCACTGACAGGCTTATTGAGTGTTTTTTACTGTACACTGAATGCAAGGCTCCTCTTCTGAAGCATTTGAAAATCAGATTGAATTCTGCAAGTCTTTGAACATCCCACATACCAAAAACCACTGGAAGCTTGGGGCACAACGCGCACCACTTCTAACCCATGCAGATAACAGAAAGCTTGATTCTAATATTAATGAAAGCAAGATCAGATCTGTAACTGGGAAGATTGATAGACTGCAGGAGTACAAAAAGCAGAGAAAAGCAGAAATAACTAAATTCTAACAGCAACTGCACATACAAAAGTTGCACTTGATTCCAGTGTCACGTTACGGTTACTCTTTTTATGACACGACCTGCTTTCCATCACTGTATGCTGACTTCCTGGATAGTGCAATGGGCAGAAAGTTTGCTGATGTGACTGACTGTATTACAGTTCATCATCCAGTATCACGTATGTTCCAATACTTCATACAGATCTTGTTTCACTTATCGCAGTCCTCGCTATCACCGGTTCAATAAAACAGCAATTCGGCTTTTTGGAGCTTTCACTTTCAGTGTATTTCAATCTGACATCAGAGTAGCGCTCCAACAAAAGCCAGACTTTTCCATCTTTTAACAATTCAGCCCTGTTGGTATCAGTAACATAAACACAGCGTACTAAAGCAATCAAACGAGCTAAAGTGATTCCATTAACTCAGCTGGGCTGGAACTCTATATTGCATTGCCTGCTGGCTCTTTCTGCTTGCCAGCTTAAAACTGCAGCTGACTGTCGTCTAACCCGCACCACCTTCATCTAACTTGCCCCAGGTACAGAACTGGAATTAAAAAGTCAGGGAGCTGTAACAGCCGTCTTTGTGTGTGTGTGTGTGTGTGTGTGTGTGTGTGTGTGGTTTTTTTTTTGTTTTTCCCTAGAGATGGACACAGTAAAGTCTTTCAGAACGACTGAATTTATTCTTTATTACAAATACATAGCTATTAATTCTGCTGCTATTACCGATTCTCAGTTTACTAAATATATGGGAATTACTAAAGAGAGAGGTACCTAGAAGAAAAGATTTTGAGGAATGTTTCTGATGCCTTTTCATGTGGTTGAAATACCCAGGCTATAAGCAAAGGTAGCTGGGAAGGTAGCCGGGAAGGTAGCCCTCTCTGTGTAAGGATGAACCACAACGTAAGCAGGGCTCACTAAGCTCTCCAGACAAAGAACCTGGATTCGACTTGTGCTGTTGTTCTTCCCCACTACCTGCTTTAGGACCAGTCCCAAATAGGATTGTTCTGAATCAGGAGATGCATGTCCCTGTGAGGACACTCTTTTTCTTAAAGGGTTGATCTGAAAAGACACGGTAACCAAGACATTAAGAGACAACAGCTGGGAGAAGATTTCCAGTGCTCACTGTGATTACACAAAACCCAGCAGGCTGGCATAAAATACGCAGGTTTGTCATAAAAGCTCAGAGTCAAGTATTGAAGGAAACCATGCTTGGATTTTAATTAGACGAAACTTTCACCAGAATCAATTGCCTTGTTGCCCACTTGGCTGCCTGCTTTCATGGCTTACCTATAATTCAGTGTTCTTCCAGGAGATGAGCGATAGCTCATCTAGAAAGCTGGAAAGTTGTAAAGTAAACGTACAGGGAAAGACCCTACATGCCCATTCCATTGATACAACAGATGTAAAACCTGCCAAACGGGGCTCTCAGCTTAAGTCAGACCTTCTCTGTTTGTTATTTTTGCTCCTTGCGCAGCATACTCCTCTCCATGTTCGGTACACATGGTTTTAATGTTGCTCTGCTCCCAGACATTTGTCACTAACTTCAAAACCCAGGGAGTCAAGGTCACTTCCGGATGATGTGCATTTCTCACTGCTGATTTGATCAACATTTAATAAATATCAGATGGGACACAATGTGCCTCGTTTCACTGGACACATGCTTTTTCCCCATTCCCTTCTCCGACTTATTTTAATAAGAGCTCTGGTTTTTCTGTCTCACTGTTGGGAAGACATCTGGCCAAACAGACAGCGACCCAGTACAAAGAGATCCTGCTGGCTCACATGCTTTGGGGACCCCCTTCTCTGCAAACCAAGATGGTCACAAAAAATATGCAAGTGAGACATCCCCCTGTTACCAGGCTTTGTAGTATTTGTTTTTATAGCATTACATTCCAGTGACTGAAGACTTTGTTCTCATGCAGGGGGTATACATCTGCAGATTCCTTTTGGGCTCCAGATAAGCTGAGCTTTTTTTTTGGGGGGGGGGAGGGGTTGACTTTTGTTGTTGTTGTCCTGTGTTTTTTTAATGGCAGACTAAATACCTTTCCTTTCTGACATTGAGTAGACACCCTACAAAATGCCTGACTCCTCAAACATATTATGCTTCAGGAACTATGTCTTAAAACACTTGAGTTTGATAATGCACCCATATTTTCTTGCTGAATAATTCTTTTGGAGGGTATTTCCCTCGGTGTCCTTTTCTTGGCTCTTGCCTCAGGATCTTAGGTGGCCTCATAATACTTCTGCTAGCAGATCAGTTTTCACAAAGATGTAAAGCTCCCATTGTAACCCTGACAAAAAAGTACTGATAAGATAATTGAAGAAATGTAGTGCAGGAAAAAAAAATACATATATTACCTAGGAGGGTTTTTTTTCCCAGTGTGATTCATATATAAAGAGATAACAACCCTTGAAGCTCTGAGGGAAGACTGTAAGTCTAGTTCACAGCCTCAAAATGAGAAATTGCTTGAGACTAATGCTTTCAAAACTGATGAGCAGTAGATCTAATAACTATATTTAAAGGGGCCTGAACGAGCTATGGAGTATAATCAGCTTGTGTAGACCATGTAGGTAGGAATCAGATATTGAGAAGTACTTAACCATGCAGAGTTGCAAACAGGCACCCAGCGGGTGCCTAACTCACTAGCAAACGTAGACAATCCCATCAGGAACTCATTTCTAGATTTAAATTACTAAATCC